AGAGTGTATCTGCCTTTAACCGTATAAAATGTATGTAATCATTAGTGAACATGGATATCCTGAGAACTGATTTTACTCAATAACCCATCATCTCCTTGATTTGCGTTGCAGGGTATTGCCATAGCTTTGAAGTGTGGAGCAACGAAAGCTCAATTTGATAGCACGGTAAACTAATTATTTTTCCATGCACTTTTTCTTACAACCTTAATTTAATCTGGTTTCTGAGACAAATTTACACATCTTGATATTTTATTGTTTTATATCAGGTTGGGATCCATCCATCATCTGCTGAAGAGTTTGTAACAATGCGCACTTTAACTCGCCGTGTAACTGCTGGGGCTAAACCGAAGACAAATTTGTGAAAGTACTACAACATCTCGAAAAACTGTCGCTGGCAGTAAAGTACACCCATACTTCGAGCTAGCTAGCTACAGTTTTGCAATTGCAAATTGTAATAATTGGGTTGACATGGTGTAATATGTTTCATCATATAGAACATCATGGTAGGCATTGTGGCAAAGATTTACGTTGTGTTCATCTTCCACGATGATATTATCTTGGTTCTCGTATACCATATGTGTGAGCTTATTCAGTTGATGTGATGTAAAAGATTCACTTCGCAATACAAATGTGTCCTGCCTTTTCAACTTTCTATTCATTACTCAATACATGTCACTTCTTATGCTGAAACTTCTCTAAATTTATCATAGTTTTTTATAAGTCAAAATGTTCATAATCTTTTCCTTCTACAGTTTGCCCTCCATAGTTTTTTATGGACAAATAAATGCAAATATATACCTCAAACCTTTAACGGAAACAACGAAGTGGATTAAAAACTGCTGGTAATGCATCTGAGAAATGGCAAGCAAGTTTTCTGAATTAAGAAGATATGATATAATTGCTGATACATTTGAGAGATCTCCAATGTATAAAGTGTCAGTATTTGACGTTGACTATGGCTTCATGTTAGAAGTGCTTGTTTCACATAGATGCAATCACCATATATAGACAAATCTACAGATTTACTTTTTGCTTTGATGGTTAATACTTTAAAATGCTCACTGTTATTATTATTATTATTTATTGTTATCATCATGTCATTATTGTTTTCTGGTTGTAGCATTCCCCCTCTCTCTGTTGTTGGCCTCAGTGAACAGCAAGCTATAGAGGAGTGTAAGAGTGACATTCTGGTCTACACCTCATCATTTAATCCAATGAAAAACACAGTATCTGGGTATGTCCCTACATGGAACTTCTACTGCTTGTTACATAAATCCTCATCTTTAAGGAAGATTGATTTTTAGCCTTGTTACATTGAATATTACATTAGCAAGCATTTGCATGACAGTCTCGAGCCTTAGCATTCCTCTTCGTTTTTTTCCCTTTCATGTTTCCAGGAGACAAGAAAAAACGGTTATGAAGCTTCTTGTTGATTCTGAAACTGATAAAGTAATTGGCGCCTCCATGTGTGGTCCAGATGCAGCTGAAATTATGCAGGTATCTTATCAGGGCAACTCATATATATAATTCACCAGAAATTGATGCTTAAAATATTTTTAATAGTCATTAAATAAAGCTAAAGATTTCTTGAGGTAAATAAGCTATAGTTTATTCTCTCTTATACTACACAAAACAGGGTTGAGGGACATACACCTTCTGTGCTTGTGATGGCGTAACCAATTATAACCCCTTCAACTTTTTTTTAGTGCTTGCACCCCCTTGAACCTTGATGAGTTATTTTTTGTCTACACTTCGAGGAAAATGTATTTTATGGTAGAGTGTATCTGCCTTTAACCGTATAAAATGTATGTAATCATTAGTGAACATGGATATCCTGAGAACTGATTTTACTCAATAACCCATCATCTCCTTGATTTGCGTTGCAGGGTATTGCCATAGCTTTGAAGTGTGGAGCAACGAAAGCTCAATTTGATAGCACGGTAAACTAATTATTTTTCCATGCACTTTTTCTTACAACCTTAATTTAATCTGGTTTCTGAGACAAATTTACACATCTTGATATTTTATTGTTTTATATCAGGTTGGGATCCATCCATCATCTGCTGAAGAGTTTGTAACAATGCGCACTTTAACTCGCCGTGTAACTGCTGGGGCTAAACCGAAGACAAATTTGTGAAAGTACTACAACATCTCGAAAAACTGTCGCTGGCAGTAAAGTACACCCATACTTCGAGCTAGCTAGCTACAGTTTTGCAATTGCAAATTGTAATAATTGGGTTGACATGGTGTAATATGTTTCATCATATAGAACATCATGGTAGGCATTGTGGCAAAGATTTACGTTGTGTTCATCTTCCACGATGATATTATCTTGGTTCTCGTATACCATATGTGTGAGCTTATTCAGTTGATGCTAGTTATCCCTGTTAATTTGCAATTGTGAAGCAAGAATTTATAGGTTAGGTATTGCGTGCTATCTTTGTGCATAAAACAAGCCAGTCAGCATAATTTTTAAATCCATTTGTTAAATAGCGTTGGCGGATCAATGCTGATTTGGGTTATTATGTTTTTATTGTGTTCAAAATAATTAAATCAATAAATAACATCAATGGCAGTAACTCGTAATGCTTTGGATATGGTAGTTGGGGAGGGGAGGCTTTAATTTTTTCAATCCGTAACATTCATTGCAATTTCAATGGATGAGATGGTGTGAGGTAGAATTTTCATTATCACAAAATAGTAGTTTTTATAATAATAAACTGTAAAGCAATAGGGTTTTTAGTATATGTGGAAATACTATGTGACATCATCGGGTTTTATCCATTAAAATTGAAATGGACGCAAATGATTAGGGTAATTAGATCTTCTCCGGTTACCATTTAATTGGAGATGATCCGAATGCATAACACAATATATCATTAGCAATTATCACAAAACAACTACTTCACAATATATCATTAGCAATTATCACAAAACAACTACTTCTTCGCTAGCTAGAAGAAAGAGAAAAGTCTTAACAATATTATTGCTACCATCATTATTAACATTGATTTTCAAAAAGAAATACCGAGTAAATACAAGTACACGCATGATACATCCACATCCCTCATATTTTCTCTGAGCAAAATCTGAGAAATATACTGAACATATATATATATCATATCACCATGCGCATTCATTCCGTAAGATTTTCCTACCTTATACATGGTAATTAAATATCTCACACTCCCGTGTTTGACCATAAAATATGAGAAAGATCTCCTACCGTATACACGGTAATTAAATATCAATATGCACACTCTCGTCTTTAATTATAAATATGAGATGTATGCTTGCATCTAAAATGTACAAACAAACAGGGGGAAAAAAATATGGTTATCTCTACGGTTTTCAAATCTTTTCTCGTGGCTCTTCTCCTAGCCATTGCGATCTCGTCTTCGCAAGCCCGTAAGCGCGCGCTCTCTCTCTCTCTCTGTCTCTCATATCCCATGAACAAAACTAATATTTTTTATTTATTTTGCAGGGGTTGAAACGGAATTATGCAAAACCTTTCCTAACTGTAATTTAAGTAAGTGCTATGACGATTGCATGAAAACTCATGCTTCTGATGCGTACTGTGATGAAGGGATGTGTTGCTGCCAATATTGATTGATGAAAGCAATAATTTACACGGAAGTGCTTTATATTGGTTAATAAAGAATGTCCTTTTACTATAAGTCATTTTAAGTTTAATTTCCTTGTACTGCTCTTGAGGGAATTTTATCCCCAAAAAGTATGTTCATTTGAAATAAAGATTTTGTCGCCTGATTTTCATGGCACTGGATTATTGGGTTGGATTAAAAGAATATCACAAAAACATATATATATATGTATAGTTCTATTTATGCGCGACATTAAGGATTGAGTTTGAACCCTCTCCACTGTCAAAAAAATAGTGAAGAAAACACTAATATAAATTGTTAATCATTTAATGCACGGCGATGGACATTTATAATATTAACATCGAGCAAATGCTTTACACACACACAGTTTATACACGTGCAATGCACGTGGTTAAATATCATGATTAAGTATCTTTGACTTATTTCCTAACTAAAATTTGTTCCTCGATTCCATTTTAATAGTTTTTGCTCACTTTTACCTCTAAACTTTAAAATTGTGATAATTTTTTTATGTTTGTTTAAATAGGCTATACCAAATTTAAATTTTTATGTTGATAGTTGAATTGACAGAAAACATATATAATCAGAAGCCAATTTGAATTTCATATTATTTTGATTGACGTGAAACCAAGCTTTACTTGAGAAAGTACAGCGTTGCAAAAATAAAAAATATTGAAATAGTGTTTATACAAGAAAGGTGATAATTTAAAACCAATAAGGCAAGATGATTGATTAAAAATATGCTAAAACGATACAAAAGAGAACATAATGTTTGTTCCTAATTATTGGTAGACTTCATAAAAAATTATAAACTAAAGATTAATGCTAACTCTAGTATACTTTTACATGATAAAAGCATCCACATAAGCATATAAAGGTACTGAAAAAAGTTCATGAAACTGTAAAACCCCGAAAATTTTGAAAATATTATTATAAATAATAATAAATGGGTTTTATTATGATTTGTGATCATTCTGGGATGAATGGATTAGATTGGAATCGATTTGAGATCGATTCGCAGTTTCAGCCTCGGTATCGCGAGTCTACTAAAAACTGATACTATTTTATTTTTAGTAATTTTTGTATTAATCAGATGGACACGAAATTTACGCCATTGATTTTAGAATGTCAAGACCGTACTGTGATTAAAGTTTCGTTGCGTTTTGACAACGAAAACTGAAATACTATTTTGAGACGGTGTCAACTCCGTTAGCATCTGTCATATTTGTATTTTTAATAATTTTTATGTTGATCAGATAAATATGAGGATTACACCATTGATCGTAGAATGTTGAGACGGTCTTGTGGGTAAATTTTTATTATTTTCTGAGAACGGAGATTTGAAACTCAATTTTTAAATAATATAAAATTATAAATATTATTTTTTTTCCTTTTCTTTTCTTCTCTCCACCTACCCCCACCTACCCCCCTCCTATAAAAGCCTCTCCCCCCCTCTTCTTAGCACGCAGAGAAGAGAAAAAAGAGTGAGAAAGAGAAGGGGAGAGAGAGGGAGAGAGAAAGAGAGGGAGAGAGAAAGAGAAAGAGAAAGAGAGGGAGAGAGAAAGAAGGAGAGAGAGAGAGAAAAAAAGACAGAGAGGAAGAAAAGAGAGAAAAGATAGAGAAGACTTTGGCTATTCGGAGAAAAGGAACAGATAGGGAGTCTAATTTCAGAGACCAATAAAGGCAAGTTCATCTCTTTCCAAACCCATCCCCAGTAAATTTTGATCTTGAGGAATATACATGATATTGATGAAAACACATGATATTAATGAAAAGATATGATATTGATAAAAATTGATGAATATACATGAGAATGAAGAAAAGACTTGATATTGATGAAAATTGATGAATAGAATATAAGACCAAATTCCTAAAGACATGATATTGCTAGCTAGAACTATACGTACATGTCCATCGCTGGAAATATTGTTACTATTTATACGTATGGTACTATTCATACATACGGTACTATTCATAAGTACTGTATTATTCATAAGTACTGTACTATTCATATGCACGGTACTGTTCATACGCACGGACTATTCATGAGCACTATTACTATTCATACGTACTGTGGTACTATTCATACGTACTATGGTACTATTCATACGTACTGTTACTATTCATGAGTACGGATACTAGTCGTAAAGAACTGTTGCTATTAGTAAGTACTGCTACTATTCATAATTTGTTATTACAGCAGATAGTCGTGGTTGGTAACCCTGACCATTTACTGGACAGTTTGGCCCAGTTTTATTTTCTGGAGTTTGTTTGCACCGTTTTATGACGCGATCGCGGAGTTTGAGCCGCTCGATGTTATACTTACAGTCATGAATATGACGAAATACGCATTTGAGTATCCCACGGGGATTATGACGAATTGAGATCTATTTACTTGTGAGTTAGTACACCGCAAATGAGACTGCGATGATACCTATTTGTTGATCCGTACGGTGATGCGATGATACCTATTTGTCGATCCGCACTATGATGCGATGATACATATTTGTCGATCCGCACTATGATGCGATGATACCTATTTGTCGATCCGTGTGATGATGCGATGAGTTGGAAGAAGTTCAGAATGATAATATTATAAACTATTTACCTGAGTATTTGACGGATGCCAAAAGTGTTTCTACTCATTGTTGAGATACTTTGCTATACGAGTACACGAGATACATATGCTGATGTCTATTATGATGCTTTACTTTCCAGTTATATTTTGATTGCTTAGTTCAGGGTTAATATTTAGTTATTTACTATCTGAGATATACGGTATATACATGAGGGTTTCCTTGTTTAGATTATTTCGCTCGACGTACTACGTCTCAAGTTGTAAGTTTCTAAATATTAATTCCATTAGATACAGGGAAAATGATCTAGGTAGACTATGCTTAATAAATAGAGCCTCCACTTCATCATCTAGCAGCCCTTTCCCTGGGGGCGGATGGAGGTGAACTTGCTGTAGCGCTCTGACGCTCTTGCTGTTGTTCTTTTTCTTTTAAATTTTCCTTTCAGGCAGCTCAGAGTTCCGGAGAGCCGCAGGATGACGGAGTTTCTAGCATAGTCGTCGTCGCATGATTTATTAGTTGAGACTCCACCGTAGATTTATTTTCACTGTTCAGACATTAGAGTTGTATTCCATTTGTAAAGGCTAGGTGCCTTTGTACGATTTTCAGTTGACTCATGTTGAGACATTTTACATTATTTCAGACTCCAGATGTATTTCAATTTATTTTAGTTCAGACATGATATCATTTATGAGATATATCTTTCTACATCATGTCTATTGTATTTATTTTTCCTTATTTTGCCTATTTTGTACTTTCACTCATAATTGATTTCACTAGAGAATATTACTGTGATTGATGAAACATGTTATTACACGGTGTGGATGCATGGCAGGTTTGACATCTCTGGGTTCACCTTGGACTACAGCCATGTGTGAAAACAGGGGCGTCACAGAAACTCCCTTCTAAAGATTCCTAATTTCACTCAAAATAATTAAACTATTCTATAAAATATTTAGAAAATATTGTCTTTTATTCCATTTGCTTTATTTTTTTATTGAGCTGAGATCAATCCCTCTTATCCTTTATCTTTTTTCTATGAAATTCTTCTAGAATAGTAGCATCATCATCTACGTCGATTGTGACATCAGATTAGAGTTTTATTTTTTGTGCTGTTATCTTTTCTGGGCCCGTTGATTTTTTATCTTCTCATTTAACTTTACAAAGAAGTTGAATGTATTTTTTATAT